CTGTCCTAAATCTTTTAATCCATGGAATATTTGAAACAAGTGAAAGTGACAACTGCAAGATTCAAACATAGTTCTAACTTTTTGAAAGTGAAGCTCAGTAGATTAAATACAACTTGAAAAAGAGCCATCAACCTAAATTACAAGAGCCATTTGAAACTGTCTAAGGTCACTTTAAAGTATGATGCTAGGGTGTGTATGTATTCCAACACTTACACCCACAAGGGCAGGCAGTCTTGAAATGCAACATTGATACTGAGATTTGTTTTAGTTGTTTCACAATACACAGTGCCTACAAAAAAAAAAAACAAAACAAAAAACCAAACACCAAACCAAAAACCAAGTAAGTGGTTGCAGTCTCAGTAAAATTCACCAGTTCTGTTTCTTCAGAACAGCCTCCTTTCTAAACTCACAGTACGCTATTATTCACAGAAGTGTGTTAAAAGCAAGTCACAAGCATATTTGTAAAAGCATTTTTATCACGTTTTTTGCAAGCTATCGCTTCCCAAAGGGAATTCAAATGGCTTTAAGCAGCGAGAATAAGGGAGGGGGGGTGGTGAAGTGGAAGGCCACAGCATCCTTGTATTTTGTTACAGCAAAGTACAGATGTTCGAGACCCCAACAGACAGTTGTTCATCTACGTGATAGTGCTCCTAGTAATGACTGACTGAATTGAAGCAGTGATCTGTATGAATTGGAAAGAACTACATACCACATTCAACCTGAAAGTAGTAGATCTCATTTTATAGCAATATGATCAGCAGCTACAATCTACATAAAGAGGTATACTACAAAACTTCAGTCAGTATGGAAACAGAAGGATTCTAGGTCTGCAATAGTTGAAGTATGTGTGATTATTTCTATTGTATCCTGCTATGGCACAGTGCTACACCTCCTGCCTCCCATACAGCAAGTTAGTATCGGAGTGCAGTTTAGTACTCAATTTAAAAAAATAAAATACTGCAGCTATGGTTATTTAGAGTGAAGACACTTTATTTTTTTCAACCAAGTTCAAACTCAAACTTGCAGCCATGAGTGCCCGCTTCAATTAGTGGGTATTAACAAACTTCATGTGACAAGTTTTAAAGAATGAAAATTTTCACAATTGCTTCAAAATGAATAGTGTTAAATAGCAAGCCCTGTGTTTTATTTAGAATTTTCATCCTCCCCTCTCTGCTTCTAACAATAGACACTCAAAGTATATTTAAACTGACAAAGGAAGAAATATCATTAAATGCTGAAGAATGAATGCATGGGCAGGGGGAGAGGGGAAGAAAAAAATAAACACTTGCATTTAGTCTCATTCTAAGAGAAAAAAAAAGCCATTTAACTAACAAGGAATAAACAAATTATTTAAAGAATAAACACTAACAGCACAAGCATGTTCTAGCTGTTCTCTCAGTAAATCTTTATCTTTAACCAACAATGATTAGTGTGTGTATGAAGGCAGACTGAATACAAAAATTAAACTACGCTGTCTGGCTTTTACCAAGGCTATTAAAAACGGCTTCATTTTTTTTTTCCTCCTCTAATGCAGCATCAGTTCAATATAAAGTTCCTCATGCAAGAACCAACTGCTTTCATAAACTAAAGAATTTGCATTGTACAGAAGTTGGAATAACTTCACACCAGTAGCACGATTTGCATGGTTTTGTATTCTGAAACAGTTGACTATGAACCACCTGGGCATAAAATATAGCTACAAATCTTCACACTCAGACAGACATTCAGTCTTTTGTAAAACTGGAAGATCTGGCAAGATGAACTGGTAAAAACAACCACTTGCTAGTTTCAAAATGTAAGCTTTCCACAAGGTACTTTCAAGTTTCTACACACACTTGTCCACCCTTTTAAGAAAAAAAAACCCCAACACACCACAAATCAGCACTATAGCATCCATCTTCAAAACTTTTCTCTCTTCAATGCAAAATGCATAAAAACCTCTAACTCCAAACATGCCTACTTCAGATTCCAGAAAATGAAAATACAGCCTGCTTTAAGATATGTATGGTATAATGCAGTGGGGATGATGTCACTCAACATAGGGCGAGTACTTTTTTTGTCCTTTCCTGTTCTCCCATCCCTCCTGCACCCCTAGAGTTAAAACTGTAGCCTCTGATCGCAGTAAGGCAGTCTGCAGAAAGGAAAAAATCATTTAAATTACATCTTACTGTGGAACATAAGCTCCTGGAGGGCTGATGCTAATGTTTCTAATACTAGCAACAATTTGTAAGCACTAGTAAGTAGCCTGGAATTGCAGTATCTGTGAGACAAGAGTGTTCCATTCTAGAGTACTCTTTTCTAAGAAAGAGGTGTAACTCCTTCAAAATGGAGATATACATAATCATTAAGACATGCTAGCTTCTTTGTATCCAGCTAATTAATGGGGCAACTTTTTCTGTCTCCACTCTTCAGCAAGCTATCAGCTGTACCTAAACTTTGATTCTTACATTAACAGAATATTGGTTTTTTTTAGCTCTGCAGAAAGAGGCAGTTTGCTAGAAGGCTTCTTTAATTTCAGTTTAGGGGATGGAGAAGTCCTAGTTCATGCTTCAAATAAAAACCTTTTCAGCAAAACAACCTCAAGTACTCTCAGGAAACACTGAGGCAAAAGGCACACTGTTTTTCAAAGACATTAATTTCATATGAAGTGGTATAACATGAAGAACAGCTTTGCGGAAGCATCCTTCATCCTCAAGTACATACAGGCTGCTACATCACAAGAACACAAAGGATAAAGGATTAATTCTGTCTGGATCTTTTGACACAACCTAGAAACAGCATTTTCAGAAATTATCACAAAGATTAGCATTTATGCACATGATTGTTCATAAACTTAATTTCTAGATTTACTGAGACAACTACATGGATTTCATGGAGTTACACAGCTATTAAGACATTTTACTCATGTCACCTTTGAGCAGATATCATACATACATTCTATTACAGCAAAATTGATTCCTAGTCATTTGAGAACTAAAGAGCATACAAGCTAAGCCTGAATGTCAGTGTGAACAGTTTAAATGAGTTAAAATCATGACAAAAAAAACCATTTCATAATGGAGACACACCAGAATCCTGTTCTTACAGTCTAATAGCTGCCTGAAAACAGTAAAAAAATTCATTTAAAATAAGGCACAGATACTAATGACTTAATGTTTAATACTGTATTATTGATGCTGTCAAAATACAACTTTTGGCAGTTAAAAATAATGCATTATATTATTAGGTATTTCTCAATAACAATCCTCACGTCAATCTTACCTTACCTTGCTACTAGAACAAATGCACCATCCACAGTTATGATTTGGTAAATCCACGGCTACATGCAGAATTCATTATAAGCCGATGTATTTACATCTACAGTCAAGAGGGATTTTTGATTACTAGAGTATTTCATTTTAATAATTTACAATGATTATTTCCTGTATTATCAGAAATAAATGGCTGCGAGTTATGTCATTTTGTCTACTAAAAAAAAAAAATCAGGAGAAAAATAAGATCTGAGTTTCCATCACCTTTACAGTATTCTCCTTGAGAAATAATCTAAGAGTTTCAGCAATTGCTACTCAAATTATGAAACTGGTCTTTATGTGACTTTTACATTTAAGTGCTCAAGAGGACAGTAAAGTAATACAAGAACGTCATCATACTCTAGTTCCTTTAGATTTTCAATTGACAGAAAGAACATTTGAAAAGTAGTAAGTTCTATCTCAAACTCTTTTGAGTGTAAAATATCTCAATAGTACATAAAAATTCTAGCAAAAAGAATTTGGCTATGTGCATATCTCGAGATTGTCCCACAGAGTTCAAGTTTTGGGATGTCCCAGAAATTCTTCCCTGTAGCTGATTGCCCTGGGAAGTGCCAAACCTTTGGTGTTTTAAAGAATATTCAGATAACCAAAAGCACCAAGTTCTGATGACAGATTTCTAGTTGGTCTTCAGAAGTCAGCAATAACGGTATGTAAATTAAATACAAAGTGAAGCAACAGGAGGCCTAAAGCTGTTGATCACTACAAGAGTTTAAAATTCATTCATTTCATCTGTAAAGCAAAAACCACTTGAGGCTATCAAAAGACTTTTCTCCTGCACATCAATAAAAGTGCACATGCTTAATGCTAGGTATGAAAACAACCCTTGTAAGTACTTTGTTTTTTAAGGAAGTAGACTATTTGGTCATACATGCTGTGCATGTATATTTATGTTTTAAGTGAACAGCTGGCACTTTGTAAGTTTTAATTGCAAAAGCATGATTCCTAATCACAAAATAAAAAAAAGCAACAGCAAGCCTGGAATTAAAACTCCCTCAGTGCTATTACGCTATAGCTTTTAAATTAAAATACTACAGGATAGCAATAAGACAGTAAAATAGTTTATAGCTGTATTTTCAACGCTATTGTCGGTATGAATTTGCCATCGTTGATCAGGCTAGAACTTGATTAATTTTGCAAAAGCTCTTTATCAGTTTCTTAAAGGAGGTAGTATAAAAAGGGTGTGATTTGAATAATGTGGCCTCGTCTGGCTGTAAACATTTCAAACAATAGACATAAATATCTATGATAAAAAGTACTGTGGAAGAGATTATTCTAGAAATTGCTTTTATGAACTTGAAAAGAAAAAAAACAGTAGATACATTTAATATATTTACTTATTTGCATGTAGTTTAAATGATACAGAACAAGATTACTGTGTTAGAAATCCACATACAATATAAAAACATTTGTTAGACATAAATTCACCATTTTGCTGACATTTGCAATAACTGTTTATCCAAGCTTAACTTCAGGTTTTTATAATATTTTTCATACATGAATCTTTGTATATGTGCAATGTTTCATTAACTACACAATGTGAAACCCTGATTTTTGTAGTTTTTCATCACAATCTGAACATAATAGCTATTTGCATCTTAACACATTGGCTTTTTGAAACACTAGTAATTAAGGCATCTTTACTGTATAGTTTCTCAATAGTGCAAACAAAAACTGTCTTTAATAGTTTGATTAAAACAGAATTAATTGAATATTCTGAAGGTTTTTTAAATGTAATTGGAAGATAGTTGTGCATTTTGGAGTTCTCTTGTGAAAGAAACATTTAAAAGCTCTTAATGCTGATTGCTTTTGTTGGTTCCTTATAACTGGTTCTGCTGTCTTATCTTCATGACAATATAATTCATCTTCTTTTATGCCATGTTGTAGTAACATACAGTAGCATTTAAATGAATACCTATTTACTGAGTGAATCCCAAATGCAGCAAAGGCATACAGTTTTCATAGTGCACTTTCACCTCACTGAAGTAAAAGTTGCTCCTACTAGACATTTTTCCACTTCAATGTGAAGTAGATTGTTAGGATTTTGTTAGTGGTTTCAATAAACAGCTTGACAGTTCAGTTCTCTTCTGCCAGTATTTCTCAAAAGGCTTTCAGAAATAGTACATATTTCAGGGATACTTTAGGGGATTGTTTCACCACATAAGCACACATAGTTTCCCAATCGTGTCAGTGTAGCTGTAATAAATAAGCATTTACATCCTAGAAGGAAAAAAAGAAAAAAAAAAAGAGAAAGTGTTTGTCACATTACTTGAAGCTTTAACATTGACTGTATGTCTGAGGCAGGGTAACTGATCAGGACCATAATACAAGAATAATTATGTTTAGGCCAAATTTCAGAACAAGTCATCTTTAAGATTACTTTCAATTAATGCTTTCAATGGCATTTCTTTATGTGCCAAAAGGCCTGCAAGAACAGTGGGATTAGTTTCCAAAGCCATCAGTTTAGTCTGTTTTAGTTCTGCTCCCTGCATGTACAGGAAACAAAATGACCATCATGAGATCAAGTATTTGAAACATGTTTATTAAGAGTGATATTCCTTCACCCCATCCCTCCAACATTCTTGTACTACTCCTTTTGCTCCTGACTTGTTCAGGTGGCCTTGGTCACAACCTATCCTAGTATACACTAAGAAGCAGGCAAATGGACAGAAAGAGAACCTGAATCCTAGAGAAACAAACTGACACTGGCTAAACTGCCTAGTTCTTCTTGGTAGATAAACACAGCAGTTATATATCACAAGCTTCCATTGCTCTACCAGTTGGGAGTTAGAACTCAGCTCTTCTGCATTGCTGCTGACTCTGCAAGGAGTTTGTAATTATCCTTGTAGAGACATCAAAATTGAAGTTAGAGGTGCACAGCCATCCCAGAACAAAAAATAACTTATTTGTTTGATACATCAAAGTGACAAATTCTGTAGCCATAGAATTACAGATTCCACAAAGCTCCTTCAGATTCAAGTAAAGCATATGATCTCCAAGTTCTTTTCAAGTTCAATCAAATCCTGCACATAACCAAGTGTCTGCTTTAAGTCCTTTCTCACCGTCTACCTTCATCAGGTCCCTCCATGTGGAGAGGTTTCTTGCTCAGTACAACTCCTGGTGCCCAACTTCAGAAAGTCATGTTTATAGAGATGATTACCATGAGCGGCAAATCATTTTACCAGACACTCTCATTATATTACTGATACCGTAACATACCGAGAAAGGTAAACAGGGATTCACTTCAGATGGAGACACTCTCCTGCTTTCCACAAACTCATTTTCTAAGCATTAGGTCAGCAATAAGCTTTAGAATTTAGTATGTTGTCACTTGCCTTGGTCACCTAATGTGCAAATCCTAACAACATTGCTGGGCTAAGATTCTCCATGCTGCATTACACTTACAACAATGGGTACAGCACATTTCAGAGAAAACATCTGTCCTTTCACAGTCTACCTACTCATCTAGGCCCTTTACATCAATTTTAAGTCTTATTACCATTAGCTATTTTATTATTAAGGAGATGTTTTCACTGTAAAGAAAGAAAAAAGGATAATAAAATGCATTGTTAGCATTCTAAACCACACTACTATTAGCACAGGAAATCTATTCCAGACTTCTGTAAAAATTGTGCAATATACTTGAGCATTAGTGGAAAATAAAGTAGAGGTGTTTCTATCTATCAATAGTTTAGCGTAAATAACATCAAATGAGAGGAATACTTCAAGTGATACAGCTATGTTCATTACTAAACACAACTGGAACTGGATTACCTTAGCTATATTACCAGTATATCCCGGAACCAGAGTAAGATGATTCTCCTGTTCCCATAAACCACTTAATTGTTGTTTTAAAATACGAATGTTTCTGAAAAAGAATGAACAATACTTTAACACACATACTACGTTTCAGTAGACTTTTTGACTGAAACACATAATTAATACTGCATATAAACTTAGTCTGTATGATAGATAATCCCACAATATCAGAAAAATTTTGATCCAACTTCTACAGCATTTGTGTAACCTTTGATATGACTATGTTCTACATGTATTAAAAGTCCAGTAAAAAAACAAAACCCAAACCAAAACCATGACAATCCTTAAAGTAAGTTTCCAACCACCACCTGTGTCTTAAGAACAGAAGAACTTCTTTTCAGTACTTTTAAGCTTTTACTTTCAAATTATGACTATGATTTTTTTTCTTCTGTAGATAACATGCTCCTACTGATCAAAGTTAAGAGATTGAGATGGAATAGGCTACAGAAATATATTTAAATATTTCCCAACACTATACTCACCCATCCTCTGCCTTTTCTGTATGTGCAGATAGTTCTGACCACCATCTTTTAATGACAGCCTGAAGCCAGTTTAAACCAACTATTACATATCTGTAACAACATATTTTACACATTATGCTTTTTTCCACCCGTCCAATATCTACAGGTCAGATAAAGTGTCAAGACAAATTGGTAAGCAACTTAGAAAGCAACACATTTTCTATTCTGGAAGAAAAAAAATCTAGAGAAATTGGCAAGTTTGAAATTGAAAACATACACAAGTATTTAAAGTGGTAAACTGAAGCTCTTGTTGAAAAAGTAGAAATTCTTCAATTATCTGAAAACTTTGCCTTGATTTCACATAAAAAAAGCATACTACAACCTCAGTGCTATTCTGTTTCACTGTTTAGGATAAATAAATCTGCGTAACAGCAAAGCCAGTCCCCTGGGTCCTTAACCTTGCAGAAAAGAATTTTTGCACCACTGGTTTGTTAAAGAGAAAGGTTGACAGGAAGGCTCCCATTCAGGTTAAGTGTTCCCTGAGAAAGGCAGGGTTGGGAGAAGGGTCAGAGGGAACAAGGGTGAGAGGACTAAACACTATTAATTTCTAGGCCACTGCATAGCCAGGAAGTAATAGTGTTTTGAAACCATCCAAAACCGATACTTACTCTTCATATTTGCTTTTAAGTAGCGATTTCACTAAAGGCAAAAGATCTACACAGCAGCCAACTGAAATATATGGTTTTTCTTCCTGTAAACTTAAAAAACAAGATGTTTCAGAAGTGCTTGAACTTCAACATGGTTACAGCAGATTCTTATACCCCACTTCTTTTTGTTTGTACCTCTTTGTAAGCACAGGAAGGCAGTCAACTACTACTCCAAGATCCTGTATCCTAGAAACATTAAGAATAAAATCAGAAATGTTACTAGTAGAGCACAGGTTGAAGTATATGCTTCCACTATGATTTAAAGAATAAGCATAACAAGGTTACAACATTTAAGTAACCCCTAAAAATACTGCAGCATATTTGGGATTGCTACCACTTTAAGAATATAAAAGAAGAGACCCTCAGTTTACCTCACTAAGTAGGCTACCAGTTCACTTATACTTCTCCTTCTCCAAAAGGTTAAAGCTACATTCAGCCTCAGATTCCGGCTGAAAAGAACTTGAGCCATAGTTTCATGGTCCTGAGAAACCTGTATATTTTTGAAAATATAAAAGAAGTTCACCACAAGTTAAGTAGCCAGCAACAACACAATAAGCTGCTCTAATATAGTAATTCACTATATGAAAATATACTTTCCTACCTGTACGCTGATGAGTTTGTTTTAGAAATTTAGCTAACGGTGGCCTTAAAACCAAAAATTTCCCTTAGAAGGGGGCACAAATAAATTAAGACTACTTTACCCAAAAGCTACAAGAATAAGATCTATAGACACCTGAAAAGAGCTATCTAATAATTAAATAGAGTATACATGAGCATCAACCTGTAATTCTCACCAACTCTGAGAACTTAGATGCTTATTAATTTTGACACAATTTAAACACAAGTAATTATATGTATTACTCTGAACTTTGACAGAAAAGGATTATTTCTGAAAAAGTTTGTTCTCAGAATGAAGTTTAGGTATTTTATTAAAATAGACCTTGCATTGGAATGAATACTGCAGAGTCACGCACATCTCTCAAACCTGTTAAACAGTTATCTGTGGCCAGTGATTTGCTCTTCAGTTTCTCAGAGGATGAATCGTCCTCTGTCTTCATTTCTTTACCCTTCTTTCTGCAACCTCTTTATTCTAGCTATTCTGTTGTTTCTTCCTTGAAGCTATTAAATTCAATGGAGTGGACGAGTGCCACAGACTTGTACCTCCAGCCCACTGAACTCTCAGGGGTCTCTCTTCATCACAGCCCACAATTACAGTACCATGAAGAGACAGCATGGTGAGAGTCTTCAATCTCATCCTCCCTGCCATGCCTCACTTTAAACACCTGCAAGCCTCAATGGGTAACAAACATCCATGGTGACAGAAATGGAAACTGCAATATTGAAGGGACTTAAATGGCCTTTACCATCACAAAACCTGTTTCATTTAAGTATCTGACCTCTCAGTCAGTTTCAGAAGCCCTGCAAGCATTCACTGGGTTTTATTAAGCAATCTTCACAAGAAATACAGTCTTATACAAACACGTTAGTTAGTTTCATACACACCAAGCTGATACTGCTATTGAAAATGATCCTATCCTACCTCACCAGCTTATTCCCATCCATACACTTAACACTTCCACACTTCCATAAACATGTATTACTGGTGGGACTACTACTGTTGGCAACTGCACCACCGTAAACTGACAGATAAAGACTGTAAATCACAAGACCTGAGCCAATCTATATGTTAAGAAAATTAACCTCTCTGAAAACTTTCACAGCTAACCACACAAAGAAACCAGCAGGAAAAAAAGCTTTATTTTAAACTCAAGTTTCTTTAAACTCTACTTACCTCTGAAAAAAATCCACTATATTTGGATGAGGGGCCTTCTGTTTGAGATGAGCCAGAGTCACTAGAATTCAGCAAGTGTGTACGACTGTCGTGCAGTTTTGCTGGCAGATTCCCTGCACAAGCCAGTTCATTCTCTTTATTTGCCATGTCACAGCCCCTAGACCTAGGGAACTGTTTCTTTCTGTAACAAGGCTTTGGAGTATAACAATGAACTTTTCTTTTACAATATACTACTTTGAAAAGAGAGGGGGGACTGGTCACCGTTTTTCCAACTGTTATTCTGCAATAATAAAGCAGTATTTTAGTAAAGGTTTCTCTAAACCTAAGCAATACTTAGGTGTTATTAAGTTAAAATCTATCATTATGAATTCAGCAGTCAACTTGCAGGTTACTTAAAACATTTTATCCCCAAGATATACCTTCATGACATTTGGGTTATCAGAAGTAAGAGCTACCACCAATACTTTTCTTCTACTTTTATTAATGCAGAGACTCATTATTATGAAAGTGGACACAAGAACCAAGTATCGTCAGTAAAATTAAGACCTATCTTCCATTTGTGTCTGTTTGGGTGCTGTAATACATTTAAACTGCTTCTTCCTCCCTGCCTGCCTCTCACTTGAAACTCAGACTCTACACAGCACAGACCTCCTACCTGTTTCTGTATGAAGCCAGCTGTTTTGGAGATTTCTTACCCTGGGAGAAAGGGAATAGAGAAGAAAAAAAGCTGTATTACTAAAAGGGCTCACACACTCCCCCAGTTTGTCAAAAAGAAGTCCTGGTTTACCATGGTCTGAGTTCACCACGGATTCCCTCCTGCTCACCCACTCTTCTGATTCTGCAACTAAAGTACAGCTACCTTAACCTTCCTATAATCTTCAAGTATATCACAGTGACCTATAGATGGACTAGTTCTGCCACAGCTGTCCTGGGAGCACCATGGTCAGCTATAGGCTTGCGGTATCTTTGGCAAGAGGCAGGATTGTGACATCAGAGAGATTCTTTAGTTACTAGCAAACTAAAAAATGTGACTAATATAAAAAGCCTACTGGAATCTGATGGCAAAATTCCATTACTTGTCTTACACATACATTTAAAGGCCCATAACACAGCAGATGCTAGTATTGGGAAGGATGACAGCAGAACATTTCCCCACCAAAGCACAACAACAAAGAAATCAAAGACTGTTGTAGACAACACCAGTTTGATTATCCTGGATTCATTCACATGAAACAGAATAGCACCCTGACACCAATTAGGCTGCACAGAACAATGATATCCTAGAAGAATCACAAAATTCATTCAAGGTTGTGCCACATAGATCAGCAAAACCTTTGAAAATTAAGCAACACAATCTGAAGATGAATTTCTCAAGATTTTTTTTTTAATACAGTAGCCTTCAATGCTTTAGAGCTTCATGTGATGAAGATGAGATGAATTGTGACATTCTAGTCTACTTCTTTCATTAGTAAACAAATTATTAAAAATAAAGCACTAAGAAGCTCAAGTTAGAAATATGTATTTTCATATAAACAGGTACTATGCTTACATACTGCAGGTATTTCAACTTGAAAATTTATACTACTGTTAACATTTACTTGTGCACATCAGCAAAACAATACTATGATTTTCTTTTGTTAGAGTCAAAGTCATGCGAGTTTTAGCACATAATTTCAATAAGCAAACAGACACAGAGGATATTGGCATCTTCACCACTGTTTGAAGTGATCTTCTACTTAAGTTTACCTCTCTAGTGCTTCCTCTGTACTCCACTGCCTTACTCTTCAGCCAATAACACAGGTAAGAGGTTATGAGAAAATGTTTCTGACTAGCAAGAATCCAATGAAAGCATGGGTATTACTAGACAATGTGGTAGATCAAGTAATGACAGATCCATTTCAATGCAGGTATTTCACCTACCCCACTTCTCACTTGTACCATGCAGCTCTCTTGGCAAGAGAGAACTTTTTGATGATGGAATTCCTCTACTGAAACAGTTCTTGGCTAGATTGCAGAAAAGCAGGTATGAGTAAAACCACATCAGTACCTACTGCTCATGTGGACAATATGATGCACATATCTGTGTAGCCACTGCCTGTGCCTATTATAATGCGTAGATTTCATAATAGAATTGCTGCTCAAGCTGAAGTTTAGTGCACACCTAAACATGAAATGCCCAATAGTGCTGTGCTTCTAGTTTTAGACTGCTCAGAACTATGAACTTGTTTGAATATTTACTTCAGTTTCAGAGGACAAAGAAAAAACCAAACCACAAACAGCTTACCTCCTTCATGATCTTTTTAGTGGAAGAAGGGATTCTTTTTCTGGGGAGATCAATGGGATGACCTTCGATATGCAATACTTTCTGTTTTCTAACATTGTGGGCTTCAGATGCCATAATCTCTCAAATCCCTGTTTTCAAGGGAAAGATATTTAGTTATATTTTCTAAAACACTCAGTCAACTACCTTCAAATGTAGCTGGAAAAAACAGTTAAAAGAGTTCAACTATCCGCAAGATGTTCCATCACATAAACAATCCAAGATATCATCCTTTAGCAAATGTTAGCTGGAGGCTTCATCACTAGTAACATTAACATGCTGATGAACACTTCAAAATTCCTATTTTAAAAAAAAAAAAAGAGGGGGACACACACACAAAATCAAGCCCCCCCTCCAAAGAAACAGAGGCAGAGATCTTATTTTCAGAGCAGCTTAGTACACCTGCACTGAGGAATGCCACACAGGCAAAAACACCAGTAAACAAGGCAATTTATGAGACTCTCTCCTCCACATCTCACACTATGAATTTCATCTGCCATCTAGAGAAAAATAATTGGTTCCACAACCGTTCCCAAATGAGGAAAAGCAGCTAAATAAAAATAATCCCTGTTTTCTAGGAAGAAGGCAAACTTCATCAAAATAGCAAGGGTTAAAAAAAAAAAACCAAAAACAGAAGTGAAAGAAAGATCTCCCTTTAATTTATTGGCAAATCCACCCTCGCCCATTTTTCTCAGTATATAAAACTTTGGCTATTTTTAATATTAAAAAATATCTTTATTCCACAGTTAAACAATAAGAAAATATCTGAAGTACTTTGTCTTGAAGTTTGCAAATATTTCTACAAGAATCAAAACCAAGACTGAGATAGTTGTACATAGGTTTTGCATTTTTTCTAAGTGACTCAGAAAATCCATTGCTTGAAACTGGATTCAAAAACTGTATCATCATGGAGCACTGAAGCAAGCTGAAGCAAGACATCCTACCTTACTTTTAAAAACCAACCACTTGCTCTAATTTTATTGTTTTTTCCCTAAATGGCAAAACTCTGGTCCCAGCAAGAATGCCCCAATCTCCCCTCTCCACCTTTAGTACCAACAGTCCTATCCCTTTTCCTCTATGTAGCAGATTTATCCCACATCAAGAACTTCAGTATTTAAAACACTAGGACACCGAGCACTGAAAAAGCCAGATGGGAAGCAGCTTATTAGCCACAGAGGATCTTTCAGTGCAGTAGCTAAAGGCCATCAAATAAAACAAACAGGTGGCAGGCTCAAAACAAAGTAGGTGTATTCCTCACATAATGCATATTAAATTCCATATTGCAGGATACAGGGGGAGTGAAAAAAAAATTCTTCAAATGCTTCAGTTTTCTTAGAACAGGATCAGTACTAAAGAATCTCATTTGAGATCTCTCTAACAAAGGAAGGTTTACTGACAGAAACCCTTATTCTGCAAAATGGGAACATGGAGCGCTCAAACCAATGACTTCAGTAAGCATTGCAAATGGCAGCATTACTTAGTGTAAGACCTTTAACAGTTGGTGGTCCATACTTTTCCAGACACAAGGTTGGCTTAAGACTGGTTCATTAACTTGACTCTTTCC